CTGCCCGCCTCATGCCCCCTCCTGATGGTGCAGCTAGTTGAGATGGAAGAGGCTTACTTGCGGGAGCACCCGGGGGCGCAGGTGCAGCGCGTGGCCTGACCCAGGCGCCCGCCCTGTGCCCGCTGCCGGGCCGCCCCGCCATTCTTCCTTCTTTCTCCCCCGCATCCCGAGCTCTTGACGCGGCAGCCAGCCGGCCCCTGCCGGCGGCTGCCGCCCAACCCTTGACATAGTGCCGCTGCCGTTGAACAAGCGCCCAGCAGGCAGGCAGGCAGGCAGGCAGGCTAGCGTGGCTACAGGGTGCGGTGCCGAGGAGCCATGACAGCAGCAAGCAGGGCGGCGGGCACAGGAGCAGCGGGCACGTATCGCGCTGTGAGGCCCCAGCTGCAGCCGCGGGGCCAGCCTCACAGCTGCTGCAGCGCCGCCACGTATCGGTCTGGCCTGCAGGCGGCGCGGCGGGCGAGGCGAGGCGCGCGGCGCTCTGCTCAGCGCCTCAACCCCAACCCAGCCTGCCCGCTGCCCCACACCAACCGCACCCATGCACTCCTGGAGCGACCGGCGCTCTTCTCTCTGCCCCCAGGCGCATACGCGCGGCCCACCTCCCCGCCCAGCCCCTGCTCTCCCCCCCCCCAAACACACACACACACACACACACCACCACCGCCACACACTCACAGGTGGTCATCGAGCATGTCGGCCATCAGCAGCAGCCGCTCAAAGCTGGCGCGGTCGGCATCCACAGCCACCGCCTGGCGGCGCGGCTGGCCGGCGGCGGTGGCGCCGCCCGCGCCCGCCTCCACCGCCTCTGCCGCCTCCTCCATGTCCACCGCACCCCAGCTACGTACCGCAGGGTCAGCATTGGTCACCTCGTACCGCCCCCTGCTGCCGCCCGCGCCCTGGCCCGGCGGCCCCGCAGGCTGCCGCCCCCCACCATCCTGCCCCTCCTGCCGCTCCGCCGCCTGCCGCCCGCCGCCCTGCCCCTGCCCCTGCGCTTCAGCGGCGACTGCCGCGGCTGCGCCGATGGCTTCCGGGGCAGCGGCACCCCCCTCCCATGCCGCCTCCATCGCCCCGAGCTGCTGCTCCGCATCCGCTTGCAGCGGCGCCTCATCCTCGTCTGCCGGAAAGATCCAGATGATGCGCCCTGAGGGTTGGCATGGGCGGGGCAAGAAAGATGTCCAGCCCAGGCAGCAGGACGGGGGGGCAGGTGGCAACCAGCGGCATGGGGAGCAGGGCAAGTGTGCGGCAGCAGCGGCGGATGGGAGGGGGGCAGCGCCGGGGCAGCAGGAGCGAAGCAGGGCATGCGGGGCACCTGGAGGGAACAGGAGCTCCGGGTTGCCGGGGCCGCCGCCATTCTCGCCGCCGGTCTCGCCACCAGTGTCGCCGCGCGCCGGGGGCCCGGCAGGAGGCGTGGCCTGCAGCGCCGCCGCCTGCTGCGCCACCGCCGCCTCTGCCATCCACGCATCAAACTCACACACGTGCGGCAGCAGATCGTCCTGCCGCTG